CTGTAACCTCTCCGACATGGCCTCCAATCTAAGAGCAAGGATGAGGTACCATCCACTTAGCCTAATAAAAGTAACCCTAGTTAATAACTAAATAGTCTACATCTCTATAGAAAAAAAGCCAGTTATCTCAATTAATTTAGCATTCATACATTATTCGAGGAGAAGCATATTAAGAAGAAAACCTATGATACAAACCTTAAAAGGTATTCTGCACAACTAATTCCAGTGTCTTTTGAAATAAGGTAATCAAGAAGCACTTGATGATCATAATGCAACTGCAAATAGCAAAGAGAGGCACACATAATACCAAGGATGTTAGTATATACCATGCAGTTCAAATTATTAAAAAAAAAAAAAGAAGGCATTTTCAATTTCTTTTTTGCTTTTCCTTTCATTTTGTTATTTTGTTGAATGGGAAGAAGGGAGAGAGACACATGATAACAATGTAAAAGACTTGCCTCTGCAAGGAAGAGATGAAATAGGTGTATGGGATTAAATACATTTGAAACATGAAAGTGTGCATCTTCTTTGCCAACCTTAAATTCCCATTGTTCTTTGTGAATCCTGCAGATAAAGCATGAACAAGTTAAAAATAAATGAGTTCCTAATTTCATAATTGATTCATTAAACCAAAGCAAAAAAGGAAATGAGATATCAATTTCTCACTGTTTCTCCTCATAAGATGGCAAAGAAAGCAATTGCAGGAGCAGTCTAAATAACATATCATCCTGAAAATCAAAAGAAAAATGAGAAACCAGAATGCAGCAGCTGAGAAGAAAAACACATAGCTAATATGAAAGCTACTTTCATCCCTAGATGAGGAAGAGTTTGGAGATGCCATAAATACAAGGTCATCACCTAAGTCTTGTGTTGGCATCTCCAATCAGCTCCAACCACAAAACCTTGTTACTTTACCTCCCATTACAGAAAAACAGGTAGCAGGATTGGGAGGTAAAGAACAAGAACAAAGGCATGTGGACTACTTCAGTTCAGTCTGTATCTCCAGTAAAAGTAGTAGCATCATAGACCAAACTGGTAGTTTCCTACTAGAAATTAAAAAAGTTCAGCTTTATGAAAAGAAAGAAAATAATTTACTAATGCCAGATTTTGGAATGAAAGTGCAATTCAAAATCTCATACAAATGGGAGCATTTTGGTGAGACCGCCAGTAATCAACCAGTCTGCACAATCAACATCAATTTTACACTGATCCTTTGGTCTCAACAGTTT